AGCTCCTTGCGATGCAAATCGTGTTTTCAATTCTGAGCATAGTGCTCTTCTGGGGCGACGTGTATATGACGATGGAAGGACTGCATGGCGTCCTCCACAACAAGCCCGTCTTGACGTACGACGTGCTCTCGGGTCTCGAGCGGCGCAAGCTCCTCATGCTCTTCATCACGCTCAACTCGATGCCGTCCATCTTGTACATTGACGTCGCACGCATCTACTATGGCACCGAGTCAGGGCTCAAGGTGTGGGCGATCGCCACGGTCTCGCTGAGCATTCTCGCCGCGTTCTCGGGCTTTCTTCTCGTGACGCTGGTGCAGTACCTTCCGCCGCCTCGTTTTTTACGCCACCGCGTCGCGACGTTCTCCGCCCCCGTCTTTTTGTACGCGAGCATTCTCAGCGTCGCGATTGCAATTAGTGACGAGATGTTGACGCTCAACTTGAGCTTCAACAACGCGCCCGCGGGGCTCGCGTTCTTTGCGCGCGGCGTGTTTTGGCCGTCGGGGGCGTACACGCCCGACGGCGCGCCAGCTGCGATCGGCCACTTGCTCCCCATGATGTGGCTGCCCGTGCTCGTGTCGCTCGTCGGCGCGATTGTGTATTCCAAGCTTAAGCGAATTCTCGAAGGCCATGTCGGCATTGTCAACACCGAGTGGACGACCAAGAACACGTTTCTCAGCGCGACGACGGTGCCCCATTGGATCACGAGCATGCCACTGGCGGCCCACCACGGCATCAAGATTGGCAACCGCACATTTTGCAAACCTAGTACCCAAGTACTCTTTGGGTACGCCAGCGTCATGCCTGTCGAGGCGAGCAAGAAGGTCCTCGTCGCGGGCTCTGTCGCTGCCGCCGAGCCCGACGCTGACTTGATTAGCATCTACGATCTCGGGTGGACGCTGGTCTTTGGCGCTTGGTTGCCGTGGCACCCCAAGCGGTTCGGCACCAATGTCAAAAATAAGTTTCAAGCGCCCAGCGGTGACGCGCGCTTGCTGAAAACTCGACGGTATATCCATACGCGTGGCGCCGCCATCGATTAGGCACAGCTTACACCAGCCAAGTTTCTTCAATAAGTTTCTTCTGTACAGGTATCAACGGCGTCTGAGTGTCAAACAACGCAGGCGGGCTCAAGCGACCTCTAGCGTAGAAAAGACTCTTGTCGCCATACACGTAGCGATGCAAAATTTGGATTTCAAAAACACGGAAAATGCAAGCTGGCCATGTTCGTCGGTCGATTCACCAAAACCGTTGCCTCTCGTTCAGAACACGAAGCAGATTTCACCGTCTTTGCGTGAAGAACGATATCCATGCGGATTTATATACATTTCATCTAGGACATATATGTATCCAAGTAGAGACGGCTTCTAGTCGATGGCACTGCCGCGCGTGTGTGCGTACTGTTTGCTGCGAGGTAAACGACGGGCGTCGCGTGGGACGGCCGTAAAATGATTGCGTACATTGGATCCGACGCGAAGAGGCCGAAAGGAGCAGAGGGAGCCAAAGACCGCCCAAACCAAATCGTAGACGCTCACGAGCTCGATTTCAGGGTCTTCCTTCTTGGGGTCGGCGACGAGGACCTTCTTGCTCGAGACAACGGGCGCGACGCTTGCATACCCAAAGAGCACTTGGGTACTCGGTTTGCAAAACGTGCGGTTGCCGATCTTTATGCCTTGGTGCTGCCCCAGGGGCATACTCGAAATGTATTTTGGCAGTCCGCACTCACTGAGGAAATCGTTGGTCGCCGCCCACTCAATGTGGACCAGCAGTGACCGGCCTTCGAGGAAGCGCATGAGCTTGGAGTACACGGTCGCAATCAGCAGCGCCACCAGCACTGGCGACCACATGCGCGGTAGTAGCTGCCCAATCGCTGTCGGTGCACCGTCGTCGGCGTAGGCGCCAGACGCCCAAAAGGCGCCCCGGGCGTAAAACGCGAGGTTGAACGCGCCGCTGCTAAACTGGAGGTTGAGTGTTTGCATTTGGTTTTGAATGTTGCCAGCCACGAGGCCAATGCTGCCGTAGAGAAAGAGCGGCGCCGAGAACGACACGAGCTTATAGCGTAGCTTGGGCACGGCGGGGAGGTATTGCAGTAGCGTAATGGCGAGAAAGCCCATAAAGGCCGCAAAGATGCTCAGCGAGACGGTGGCGATCGCCCAGATTTGGAGCCCCGAGTCGGTGCCATAGTAGATGCGCGCGACGTCAATGTACAGGATGGACGGCATCGAGTTGAGCGTAATGCAGAGCATGAGCAGCTTGCGCCGCTCGAGACCCGAGAGCACGTCGTACGTCAAGACGGGCTTGTTGCGCAAGACACCCTTGAGTCCTTCGATCGTCATATACACGTCGCCCGCGAACAAGTAGATGCTCATGGCGGAAAAGAGAATCTGCAGTGCGAGTAGTTCGTCGCCGTTCTCGACCGTATGACCGACGAACCACCCTGTTAGGATTGGCAGCTTGGAGTCGCGGCCCGTGCACCAGCCCGCGACTGTGCCGAGGTACGGTGTCATGTTGAGGATCTGGCCAATGTTGTACGAGACGATCGCGTACCGGGGCCCGAGCGGGTGCGACGTAATGACCGAGTTCATGCCAATGTCGTCCGTATAAATGGTGCCGTTGGGCGTGATGATGGTGTGGGAAAGCCCGGCCACGATCGGCGTCGTCACGCCGTCCGAGCCCACGTACGAATATGACGTGTTCATGCGGGCATCCGAGAACGCTGTGAGGAGGTAGACGCCAAGCGGGAATCCGGGGCGTGCAGCAGTCTCGAGCATCGCGACGCCAGCGACGAGCTGCGACCCGTTCATGGGGTTGCATGCGGGAAAGTAGTCGTAGCCGACGACGACCTGAAACGACGCCCAGCCAATCACTGGCGTCGCGCCCATCCAGCACGTCGAGACGCGGTACGTCGCGCGTGGCGGCACATCGAGCGCCGCAGCGAGGGCAACACCAAAGCCGTCCCACGCCTCGATCGTGCCTGTAATGTTGGTCTCGTCAACGGCGCACGAGTGGGGTACAAAGCCGTTGGAACGCAAGAGACAGTTGGCGCCAAAGTCGTTCCAGTACAAGCTCTCGTCTTGCGAGTGGTACTGCACGACCTCGCGATGAAAGGTGCCTTGGGCAATCACAATACCGAGCATGAGCAGCGAGAGGCAAATGAGGAGCGCGGCCATGAGATTCGAGAGAATGCGATACCACATGCGGTACCGCGCCGTCTTGTCCTTGGCATCTCCTTGATGCGATGCCGGCTTGCTTGCGTCCGTGTGCGCCGTGCTTGCATCGCCGCTCGTCGTCAAGAAGTGGTGCGTGAGGTAGCTCGAGACGACTCCTCGGAGCCACATCGCTGTCGAAGAAGCCAATTTGTCAAGTACATTGCGTTGGCGCCAAATTTAGGTGCAAAAGTGCAACCGTTTTATACGAAACGCCGTCGAACGGACGAGGTCCCGTCGCACGTTCCGTGTGGTGCGTACGGTTGCGAGCTTTTTCCAATCGAAATGGCGACGCCTCGAGCCAGAGCATTCCTCGATTCTTCCATCCGTGTGGACGCCCTCTTGTTTTGCTTGCCAGTCATGTCGGGTCGTCGAGTGAAACAGACTCTGAAGTGGACTACACGAGTGCAGTGAACTAGTACATTGCTGCAAAATGACCGGTGACCATGTTGAGGTTGTTTCAGCCCGCGTATTAATAGAGGTGCAAGGACATTCTCGACTTGTCACATTCACAAGTCTGCTCTGCAACGCGGGACCGGTGCAATGAGCTGTTTGTGTTGCCCAGCATTCCAAATTGAGTGCTCTGCGTTTTCTGCGTCAAAACAGTGTTTTGGTGTTTTGACAACGATGTACATCGAGTGAAACGCCCTCTACACACCCGGGTCCTAACGCAGCGAAGGCTTTGTCCAGATGTAGCGTTGGGACACTGATACTCTCAGCAATCCTCTCCAAGTGCTTTCCGCACTAACCTCCCTCAAGGCCAGATACCCAGATGGATCGTTGTCTTCACACATGTATGTGCCACCAGCCTGACAACCCTAAATGTGTTGATCTCCAGACGCGCTTACTCTCCAATGTCTCCAACACGTCACGAACGAAATAGCATTGCATCCTTTGCTACACCAAGATTGAAGCAGCTATGAGGAGAAAGGAGGTTGGTTATGCTTCTGGGAAACGCCATTAACGTTCGATACCTTCCGCACCAATCCAGGCGATTCAAGCTAAATATATGTACAGTACCGAGCACAATTTCTGAATCGATCGAGCATGAGCTGCCTAGTGCCCATGATGGCCGTCGACACATCCCTCGCCAACACGCGCGGCCTTCTCATCCACCAAAAGTTCCAAGCGGCCGACGTCGTTGCCGATGTGCTCGGCCTTCCGTACGAGACCAAGAACAAGTACCGCATTCACCACATGCCACCCGAGAAGAGAGCGCGGAGCCACCCGCACGACGCCGAGGGGTGGCAGCCGACGACGGTCGAGGTCGAAGCCCTCGACAAATTCCTCTTTGCTCATGAAGAGTCGGGCCTTCTTACGCGCATGTGCCTCAAGTACCTTGGCTGCAGCAGTCTCCGGCCGATGAAGATGCACATTATGGTCGAGGGTGGGACCGGCGATGCGTACGTCATTGACCGCCCGTTTCGGTTGGGCGGCGCCTATTGCCACCCATTGACAATGAACCTCAGCGCGGTTCACGGCTCGGAGCTCGTTCGCATCGGCCGCGCGCGCGAGAACTTTTCTAGTTATGTCGGCAAGTGTTTCCAAGCCTGCTGTCTCTGCACCACGTACACGGACATTGAGCGGCTCTTACCAGACAATACGTTCTCCAAGCGGTACTCGATTCGCGTCAATATCGCTTGCTGTGGTCGCACCAACAACTGCTGCGGCGGCACATGCTTCAAGCGCAATGCAGTCTACGACATCTTGGACGTCCAGGACAATGTGGTGGCCCATCTGCAGCTCACGGCAGGTGACACCCGCTCGTGGTGCCGCGCCTTGGGCTCGTTCAACACGTACATTCTCGAGTTCCCGCCGGACTCGACGCCCGAAGATCGCGCGCTTCTGGTGACGGCACTCTTCCAGATTGAATTCGCCATGTTCGAGACGAGTGACAACTAGGCTAGGTCGATGGAAATAGCATCGATTGGTCATCGCAAAGTCTCAAAACATTGATTGTGTGGATGGTAGCATCAGACAAAATCAATATATCGACGTTTCTCCAAGTATCAAAGCGCGAATGATGGCCAGGGCCGGTCCCCCTACTCTGTTGCGTAGAGTGCCGCAGCGCGTAGGTGTACCCTATGCGTCGCACCACATCTGAGAGAAATCATATTCGGTCACCGAGCACGAGAAGGGGTCGTGGGTTGAAATGACTTGTAAATCCGTTTGAAAAAGTGCATGTCCGAATGTCGCTGCGACTCAAGCAAGTACAATCCAGCCCCCTTGCTTGAAGGTCGAGTCCTTCCTCTATATATATGCCGCCTCTCTACGCCGCGACACCAAATACCCTCATCCTCAACAATCCAATCCAATCACAATGATACGTCAAACGGTTTGTTTGATTCAACACGACACAAGAGTTACTAGAATCGTACTAGGAACGCGTCCGACTTAGTTGGAGAGCTTGCGGACGACGAGGTACATGAACGGGAACGAGATGGCCATGAGCCCCCAGTTGACGATGAGCTGGGTCATGTACGACACTTCGAGCACGTCAATGCGCCACGCGATGGCGCCACCCGCGCTCTGGAACGCCTTGTACAAGCCCACGAAGCGCGCGAGGTCCATCGGGTCGTTGGACATGGCGCCGATGACCCAGTAGACGTAGTTTTGGTAAATGGCGTCGACGAGACCGTAGAGCAGGTAAACGATCATGGGGAAGGCGGCGCGGCTGCTTTCGGTAAAATCAATGTTCTGCTTCGGGTCGTCGCGCGTAAAGTCCTTCTGGACGATGACACCGAGGATCCACGAGAGACAGGTGAGACCCGTGGCGATGGCGAGACCGACCTTGCCGCGCGTCGCACGCGAGACGGACTCCTTGTCCATGACGTAGTTGCCAAAGGCAAAGGCGCCGGCCATCTGCATGCCCCAGTACAAGACGCCGTTGAAGCCGCGCGTGCGGAGCGAAAACATGTGCGCGTTGACAGCGTTGAACTGGTAGCTGTAGAAAAAGTTGGACGCGAACGAGGCGGGAATGAGGCAGAGCATGCGCCAGTCAAAGATGGCTTCGTACAAGCCCTTGATCTCGTCCTTGACGGACGCCGACTTGGGGTAGTCAACCTGCGTGTTGTCCGAGCGGATGATCGAGTCGGGCTTCTTCATGAAGAGCGACATGGAGGCACCGCTCACCATCAAGACGAGAAAGACAATGTACGTGGCGTCCGAGACGTTGCCCGCCACCGAGTTGTAGTTGAGAATGAACGGCACGAGCGCACCAATGACACCACCGAGGTTGAAGATGACCCAGCACGTGGAGATGAACTTGCCCTTTTCGTTCTCGGTCGGGTACGAGAGCACGATAGCGCCCTG